TAATGTTTGGTCACTCGCTCCGCTCGCTCGAAAAGTTTAGACATTTGATGTTGATATTCAGGGAACCGCCCTCAACCCTTGGCCGATTGTGCACACAGTGAGGTGAACCTTTAATAGGTCGAAAGAACTTTCCAATTAGTGTCTCAATTTCCTCTAAAGACAGAACGAAATTACTCCGGATATTTTCAAAGTTATGACGAACATGTGGTTAGAATGAAAAGGTTGTAAAAATACATCATCTCATTATTACTTTGTCTTATTAACCTATTCCATATTAAACATGTCGGATTTGACCTTTTTTTTCTGGTGAAGAGAGGAAAACTACAGAGTTGTAGTCTACATCAATGCCATTCTGTTGAGGGGTGTGGAAGTGGTTCATGTATAGAAAGTTTGTTTCATATGGTGAGGTGTAGAGTTGGATTGGGTGAATAAATGGGCCCATGACTTTATTTCAAACGACGTCTTCATGCAAAAACTACAGGGGGATATGCTGGTAAAAGAATAACGGTGTCGAGACCCCGGTGTTGGTGCCTAACTGTAGAGGTTTCGAAGTCGAGTGGCTTAAGCACTTGACTTAAAACGCAAAGGTCCCTGGTTCAATCCCCGACACAGCACTAATGTCCTTTGGCAGGGCAGTAATCTACATTTGCCACTCTATATACCCGGAGAGAAATGAGGACCTGGTAGGATGACGAAAGCATTTGTGTTAATAATTGTCATATGCCCTCAAGGTGACCATATGGTATGATTTCTCCCTAGGTAGTGGAGATGGTGCACATTGTGTGTGAATAAATCCGATGACCGGACTGGTAATAATAGCTGTAAAGCGCTTAGAAAGGGTATTCCATATTAAGACCTTTATTAAAATCCAGATTATTATTAAATCTCGAAGAAAAAGATTGGAAACGTTGTCAATCTAACGTGGAAACACGCGTAGCTGCACAACATCCTATGGTGGCCTCACAGCAATCATGATCCAAAGCAGATTTAAATGAGTAAGGATGTAAGTTAAGTATCTGATGGCGCTGTCCAATTTTGACAATTAAAATGTCATTGCGTAATTTCCTTTGCCTTACCTCGCTGTCCCCTCGCGGGGTCAGCTGTGCTTAAAGAGATAGAGATAGAGAGAGAGAGAGAGAGAGAGAGAGAGAGAGAGAGAGAGAGGAAGGGGGGGGGTGAATCAGCTTTTCACCTGTCAACTTGTTAGATAAAAATTAGGATATATTAATTAGATGTTAAGACAATGTGAATCTTTCCAAATCAACGCCATAATGTAATGAGGCCTTTGACAGACCTATTACGAAACAAGCGAATTGGGCTCCGTCAAGCTTTTTTTAAAAAATAAATAAACCTTTCATTTGAGCTCAGCAGTGAGCACGGTCGCAAATATTTTCGAAAAATGTACTCAAGGAAAATTTTAAAACCCTATTGTATGTCTGATAAAAATCAAGTTCGGATTAGGTAATACGTCGTTGTCATGTTCGCACATTTAAAGAGGAGAGGCACAAGGCTGCTATCGTGTTTGTGGTCTGTTTTGGAACTGGATCCATCGACTGACACGTTCTTCCTCGCTCGTCATTAATGATTAATGACTTGACAAGGATCATTGAAATCTAGGATAGCAATAATTGACAGGCCTCAGTGGTGGGGTGTAGCTGCAGCGGGTCAGCCCCCCCCCCTCCCTACCCCGCCCTTCAGGCCTCATTATACAAGCGTTCCTATTAAAGCCCAACTGCACTACTTAAAGCTACTTGCGCCCTCTATATAGCAAACAATGCCTAATCAGTTACCATTGGTCCCCCATGGTCTCCTTTTTCGTATGTTAATTGAGAGCTGATTTGATGAGATAACCACCTGTCAGTGACCATGCAGGGAGGTCTAATCCCTCCTGGCCAAGCTAGTGCAGTGGGGCTTTAAGACACTGAAAGAAAGGGGCAACCGAGGGGGGGGGGGCAGAAGTTGAGATGAACCAGGTCCTGTATCTCTTCCTACACCCTGACATGTTATCCACATGGGCACCGTTTCACGAAACTGTCGAAAGTACAAATTCGCCCAATACCCATTGAAACGCGTGTATAAGAGTTATCACTTGTTTCAAAGGGATGTCGGTGAACTTGTTATTATGACTGTTGCGTAAAATAACGCCCAGGCTAAAGAGCCACGCTGCACCTTTGAGGCAACATATCCCGCCACTCCATCTGCACACACTGCGTTGCTGGTCTATAGAAAATGTTGAAAGTGTTTCCACATACCCTATCCCCCTCTTTTTTTAAATTATTTCATTGACATTTCTTGTCCGTATGGTGTAATGGGCGTTCCCACACTTGCATTTGCCCCCCGGGATTTCGCCTCCTTCTGCTTTTGATGTTTTGTTACCGTACAATCTTTTTTATTTACAATTTACCATTGTTAATGAGAAGCAAATAAATATGAATTTTAAATTCAATTTCCATCTTTCCAGACGAAAGGACACGGAGTGAGCGTTTTTGTTCAGCTACACTAGGGCCCATTTAACACATTTTACACGTACTTGGACCTTATGGAAGATGCTCAAAGATAGAGGACACGCGGGCCCCTGTGCCCCCTCCCCATAGCCCCCCCCCCCCCTCCCCTTCTCTGGGTCCATCTCTGAAACAGCTTCGCAGCCGTATCAAGTGGAAACGTGTGGAGAAAACCACCCCTGGGCTTTAATAAAGAGAACTATGAGGGCGGAAGTTCACTCTTGGCAAAGTGTGTCCATACTTGGGGGAAGCCAAACTGGTAGTTTTTTTCAAAGATGATAAGAATTATTATCCATTTAATGAAACCGATTCCTACCCTAGAAGCAGTGTTTCTAAATTAAAACAAATTAAAACAAAATGAAAAGATCCGAGTTCTCACTAATTTCACCATCAGTTTCCCTTTCTCTGTCTTGTGCTAACTACATGTACATACTAACTGTTCTAGTGATCATGAAAATTACGTTACTTCAAAAATATTTTACTTATTCTATATTTTGTTTGTTCAATTTATTTGTTTATTTTATGATGACATCAAAACCTTCTACAAACACTTTGTGTTTTGGGTCATACTACCGCTATATCAAAGGAGTCGCCACCTACCCCCCCCCCCCCATCCCTCCCCCAACACACACACACATGACACACTCAAGCCCTTTAACTCTTCATACAATCTCTATATTCTGAGTGTAATTGCAGATTATTCAAAACTACTTATCAACAGTCATCATTACCAGCATGTCAATTAATTAGTAACTAGGCTGCAAACGGCATGGAAAAAGCACCTGCCGAACAAAACACTTCCACCTTTAACCTTGCGCGCAATTAAGAGAAGACACAAACAACAGATCTCCCTCTGTTTATCATTTCATTGCATGCAATAAGGTCGACTGGCATATCCATGGCTAATTAGACTTAACTTTATTTCCCTTTGTCTGGGTTGAATGATTCAACGGAAACGGGGAGGGGGTTAGACTCCCCTTCCCAGACGTTCAGTGTGTGTAAAGCTACGTGACCATAATCGTGAAGGAACGCTTGCGGTACCGAGTCCTTCAAACGCCGTTCTCATGTTCTCATGTAGAACATAGCACTAATGTTTGGTCAGGGGCGTATCCAGGGGCGTATCCAGGGGCCATACGTACCTTTAGTCACACGTCTAAGCTGGTTGCCCCTCCTTCCCTCCAGGCCCTTTCTATTTGTCTTTGTTTATTGTTATTCTTGATTTTGGATCTTTAATAAGCTTCATAATTTGTTGTTGATGTTCTATATTTTGTTCTATTTGTCTTTGTTGTTGTTGTTATTCTTGCTTTTCAGATCTTTAATAAGCTTGAAAAATTTGCGGGTGGGGGGGGGGGGGGGGGAGGGGGGTCTCAGGTAAGATATTCTATATTCTAGATATTGCGCTTCCCAGAGGAGGCTATTAGAACAACCATTAGACCTCCTTTTCTTCCTGTCTGTGTCTGAATATTTGTGCATGAAGTTAATGAACCACTATATACCACGATACCACCTCTCTCAACTTATATTCTATACCCATCCTACATATCCCATTAAACCTATTAACTCCTCTCTCCCCCATCCCCCCAATATATATATATATATATATATATATATATATATATATATATATATATATATATATATATATATATATATATATATGATATAATAATAATAATAATAAATACCAATATGCCTGATATCCTTCCTCAGTCCCATGGCCCCTTTTCTTTTCTCTTTTCCTTCCAAAATGTTAACGTTAAAGATAAAGTTGAGTTCTGGTCATGCGATTGCATTGTGAAAGAAAAGGTGTGGAATGGATCAGAAAAAGTTGACCATGTAGCATGTAAGTATTGGTGTGTACTGCAAGGTTCTGGAGCCATCAAAATCATAACAAATTTGGCCCAGTCTTGGTAAAGTAACAAGCACTGTACATAGAAAGATGTATATGGGACTACACAGATGGTGTCGGGGCTACCAACCTTGATTTCCTTATCTTTCTATGCTCATTACTCAGCCAGTATACATTTTCTACCAAAATTGTTAGGCCAATGACATTTATTTGTAATCTTGAACATTCAGTGTAAGTTTCGTTTGATTCTGTGAGAATTAATTTCCTTTTTTTAAAACCAGAACTCAAGTTTATCTTTAAGCACTTCTACTTGTACCATGGAGTTTTATAGCTCTAGTTATGCGCTTGTACAGGAGATTTCCAAATCAATATGTGCAGCGTCGGGGAACCAGTTGCTCACCATAACACCAGTCATTCATATAAGTGCCAATTTTTGTAATTTTGTAATTAGAAATGAACCGTTCCTAGGCAACCTCATTTTTTCATCCTAACCACCGATATCTTGTAAAGTCATCAAAATGACTAATCCTGCAGTTTCTAGAAGGCAAGCCCTTTTCTAGAAATAAAATCCTGTGTACGCCCACTTTCAGTGTAGCCGAATATGGTTAATACACGTTGCAAAGAATAATGACAGTAATAACAGTTCGAACTATACTGGCATTATATATATTTATTTCACATATAACAATATACTTATATATTTCAAAATAACACATTATAACTTTGAAATTGCATTGTATTATAATAGCATTGTCATCATAATCTTTCACTTAAAAAGGTGCAAACATTTGTTATTTGGGATTAAGTGTGTCAGTTGTGTGGGTGGCTACACCGCGACGATTTAGATGACTAATTGAGGACATCGAGACCTAGGCATTAAAACCACCCTACGACCTGACTCACATAACATTTTTGAAATGGAATTACAATACACTGTTAAAGCAAGTCGGGTAAAATTATTCAGTAAAAGAGGGTAGTTCTGTCGACAATAATTATGTTGACAAAATAATGACATAACTTGAGACCAGATTGTTCAACTTATCACAATGGTTGTAATCATCCCACTTATTATACATGGACACATGAGTTTTATTCTGAAAGGGTGGAAAGTTTTCACCTCACAAGGGGCAAACTAGGTGCACTGTAGGGGTGCGAAGATGCACCCATAAGGGTGCAAAAGGTTTCATCCTGTAGCTGTAACCATGATAACTGGGTGCATTGTTTCACCCCTAAACGTGCAATGTCTACCTCAGTCACACCGACAAGACGGACTCCAAACCGACAACCCCCCCCCCCCCCCGAACAAAAACTTACATTTATACCAATGGCGAGAACGATGCCGGTGTGGATTTGGTATGGCGGTGTGACTGAGATTTAAAAAAAAATCCTGGTGTTGTATTAGTATGAACAAACCTTTTTCAAAGTTGTCATTTGTTTCATACCTCAAGCAAACCAACAAGAACGACACCATGCCGACAACGGACCGATCAAACATTCCATTACACATGGCAAAGAGTAAGACAGTTTGAGTCGGTATGGAGTCGGTTTGGAGTCGGTATGGAGTCGGTTTGGAGTCTGTTTGGAGTCGGTATGGAGTCGGTATGGAGTCGGTGTGAAGTCGGTGTGGAGTCAGTGGAGTCGGTTTGGAGTCGGTATGGAGTCGGTATGGAGTCGGTGTGCAGTCGGTGTGAAGTTTATGTGGAGTCATTGTGGAGTCGGTTTGGAGTAGGTTTGAGGTCGGCGTGGAGTCGGTTTTGCGGTGTGACTGATGTGTAAGTGGCAACTTAAAGTGTCGTATATACGAATGTTTTGCTTTAATATTAAAATCTCTTGTCATTTGGCTTACCTACCGGATGGCCGAGCATATTTTAATCTTCCCTGTCCGATTAACCTCCATAATATTACAGTTTAGGACATACACCATTCATAATTCGTTTCACATTGCAATTTTCTAGCATGCAAGTCCCAGATCGATGTGATTATTGTCTGTGATTGACATATATAAATATGTGAAAATGTTGAGGTTGATAATGCTACATAGCACTAATCCAAAAAAACTTGTCATAGATGATTAATCGAAACATCATGTAAATTTGATCAGCTATGACAAGAGAATTGAATCATGATAATTCACATACCAACCGGACTTTGTACTGTTAATATTTAAATCTTTTCCCACTATGTAGTATCATGTTTGTGCGAGTGGCTACGTAAATGATACAATGTAAACGTCAAATGTGTGCATTCATAATATTGACCAAACATGGCTTATCGCCGTGAATTTATAAACGAACGTTTCGCACAACAAATACCTGAATACTCTGCCCTCTCTGAGTGATACATGATACGACGTGTTGCCATAGTGTTATACCCTGTTGTCATTTATCTAACTGACCCGTTTTTTAAAGAGGGATGTGCCGATACCAATATACAATATCGATATAAATGTTACTGTCTGCGTAAAGATTTACTGCAGCTCAATGACCTCCTTCTGGGGGCAAGGAAACGCGCGTGTGGTGCTGGCCCGTCAAATGCTGCCACCTCAATTCTTGTTGCTCAATAAACGACATGTTTGGGACGTAATACTCTTGCGTGAGCGGTGACGTCGTCTCCGATTCATACTCGACGCAGTTTGGATACATATGATGATGGTGTTCGTAAACCTCGTAGCTCGTCGGCATTCCCGCTTGGCAGCCGTCTCCGCAGCTGCGGCGTACTTCCCACCAATCAGAATTCGCCGTGTTGAGCGCACTCGGCTCGCTCACGGACGGGAAGCCAATCATAGCGTCCGATGCTTCGGCGTTGACGACGTCATATCGGTGCTCGGTGTAGTTGCTCGAGTTGCGGCTGCGTGGTGCGTTTTTCCCGTGGTTGGCTTGCGGTGCGCTGGAGGCGACATCGGGCTTGGCTTGCTGCATGTAGTACATGTTAGCGTCGGTGATCACCTGCGGGTTCGAGTCGTCGAGTGTTTCGGATGACGGTTGATGGCAGCAGCAGCAGAAGATCAACGAGGAGATGATGAAGAGAACGGCGGCGACGGCGAAGGCCATGGCGACATGGGTCCCCGTCCATGACAACCAGCCATGACCACTTGACTCCTCTACACTATCAGGTGATTCTGTGACAGGAAAAGACAAAACATAAAACAAATATTAGATAAACATCCATTTCAAACTCTCACGGTATTTATTCTGATTATCTCCTCCAAATGATTCCCAGCTAACGTGTTATTTCCAGCTATTTTGATGGTTTCAAGCTCTGTTATAAAGATTACCAGCCATTTTGTTTAAAGTTTTGACAGAGATCGGTCCCTTCCTGTCAATATAATTATAAATGTTTTAGCAAAAACATGGCCATGCTGGGGGTCATGTCGAAAGTATATCTTGCATTCTCAAATACCGGGGCTCATTTTCGTTTATATTTCATATAAAAGCAGAGTATTCTAATGACATTACTTCCAATTTCTGTATACTGCCATCTGCTACTCACAAAATCGTAATGTGTTGACAGCCATGTCCCATAATGCATCACCATCTGATAAGCGCGCGTGGTGATGCTTTGTAACTTGGGTACATGAACTGGACATCGAGCTATGTACGCCTGCACCAACAGATGGCGCAATTGAAAGTGTATTTCAGCAGTTGTAGCGATGTCGGCAAAATACTCTGCCTTCAAACAATTTTTTGTCAACCCACCCGTAATCCCTTTACAAATATAAGGCGCCACCGAGCTTCTGATTTTAATACTGATTGCATTTGTGATTAATTTGTGATTCAAATGTCTTTTGTACTTTAGACTCACCGTAACATAGTTGAAATGATTCGTCGCTGCCCTCAGGGCAGTGCCATAGGTTATCACACATTAGATGACGATCAATACACATCGAACTTTCTCGGCAGGCGAAGCAGTTGTTCGAATCTGTGCAAAAGAACAAAATAAAAGTAGAAATGTTACAGTTTAATTGCTGAATAATATTGGATTGTTTGTAATGTTCTGTTCAAGTTTATTTCGGTCTTTTCTTCTCTTTACCCCTCATTTCATTCATTCATCTTCTACATTTTTCTCTGTATGGTCTTATTTGTAGTTTTCGTCGTCCTCATCTATTTCAACCTTTAAATTTTTTCTTATTTTCCAAAATCATATTTTATCGTTAATCTATTTATATTTGATTGAGAAAAGCTGCATATACAGTAATATTTAGCATTTGATTCTTGGCTTTCCAACAATTTAATACACACTGTATATGGTTCTTCTCAACTAATTCTCTGCAAATGGTCATAAATCCTTTTTTTCACTGACGTCTCCATTGACGTGAGTAACATTATCATATTCAAGGTGATAATTTTGGTCTATTCTTTTCAATAAGGTTTATCGTAAATTGGTAATGTATGACAATCCCTCACTATCGCCATTATCATAGCAATCATGATCGTGTGTAGTCGTCAAAACTGAAATCACCCAAAACAAATTTGAATAAGTCATGAAAATCAAATATAAGATTGTCCCTTGCTTACTCGTCAAACAAATAAACCAAGAAATCATTTGGGAGCTGTCTAAGTATAAAGTCCAAGACATAATGAAAAGAGTGCATTTTTATATTGACATAGATATCATTGCTATATAATAATGAATTAGTGCGTATGAATCGGTCACAACGGTTTGATGCCGAATATATGCGTGTGCCTTTCTCCTATTTGCAGATTTCGTGCAAACAAATCGTTCATGCATTTCCATTCGTGGTATTACTTTATAATTAATTCATCATCATCATCATCATTACCATCTTTATCATGATCATCACCACAATCTTCTTCATCATCATCATAATCATCATCATCAGTATATTCCTCGACTTACCACTTATGTCAGCGGCACTAGTGGGACTATAGCCGAAATGAAAGATAGCGAAGCCCCGATTTTCGTCGTCTTCGCCATTATCTACATAATACTCATCACATTCACAATCACCATTGTTGTCGTCATTATCGCAATTATCACCACATCGTCATCATCATATTCAACATCATCATAATCATCATCATAATCATTATCATCATCATCTTCTTCTTCTTCTTCTTCTTCTTCTTCTTCTTCATCATCATCAATGTCACAACTTACCACTTGCGTCAGCGGCACTGGTGGGCACATAGCTGACGTACGAGATGGCGAAGCCCTGATTGTCCGACGTGACGTCATCGGTGATGAACCTGACGGTGACCTCGTTGCTGCTGGAATGCATGGTCCTGTACTGACGGGGCAGTGATCCACACAGCCCGTAGAGACGGCCCGTCAACATGGGGCTTGAGATAGTCGTTCCATCGTAGACCAAGACTTCATCCTGCAATAATTAATATCCATAATAAGAAGAGTTATAATGGCGATCAGATATTTTTTTTTTAAATATTCCAAAATATTTTAATGATGTTGTGTTAAAGCTTTTACAAATTATTGTATATACATGTATATATATATTGGTTGGTATGTTCTAAAACATAACAAATATGCAACTCAAAAGCTGAAACTGTTTTGGAATCACATCTAAAATTCATATAATTTAATTACGTTGATCTGACATTCGTCAATACAGAGTGAGAATATATGATTAAGTTATACATGTATAATAATTTCGTATATATATTTGTTTAACAATACAATGTCAAAAGCTTATTCTTAATGATTAATTCATTGTCATAAAATATGGTGGATTGAACTGGCCCTGACTAGCCCTTGCTCTTTCTTGACTCCATTTTAATATGCTGCAGTTCAATGTATGTTCAAAATTTTGGGAACGAATGAATGAATGATTGTTTTTTGTTTGTTCCTTTGCACTTTTCTGAGACCCATGTGTCAAGCTTTTATGTCTATCTTAGGCCTACTTGCTTCCTTTCTCCAATTTATTTTCTCAATTTTTGAACTTTTATTGCTTGCCTGATTTTCTTCCACAAGTATGCGATTAGAAATTCAAGTTTAAGAGAAAACAAAATCCAACAAACAGCATACAGGATATAAGGTGAAGAAGAAAAAAAATCAGATCTATTTAATTGAAAAGTAACATACGCAACATCCTGGTAGACCTAATTGTATCATTATGCATGAAAATGCAAACATGTCTACTCTTCGTCCTCTTGTCAAATATAGTAGCTAATTCAGTCACTCTTTCAGGCAGTAACAATAGATGGCGCCATTCAACAAAGCGCGTGTAAACAAAACGAGTAGCTGTCAGTTCCAACAAGAATACACACTCTCTTTTCATCAAACACGTCGTCAAATCTTGACCTTGTCAAATTCGTTTCCGTTTCGATTTTCCATTCTTTTCGACATGGCTCCAGTTCAAATACGGTCCAAAGTTGAATGTAAACAGAGAGGTCTTTTGAGAAAGTCGTTCTCTCTCTCTCTTTCTCTCTCTCTTTCTTTCTCTGTCTCCTTCTTTGATAATGATGTCATTTCTAAGTTACCCAGGACTGCAAACAATTTTTGTAGTTCGTAGCACTAAAATGTTTGCTCTGAGGAATTGTGGTCTAAGTCATATTGAATGTATTTTTCCATTCATTATCAGCTGTAACAATAGACATGGGTGACTATACGCTCTGTTAACTAGGATGAAGGTGAAATATCACGTAGACCTAAAGATTTCAAGAAAGATCTTCTTTCAAAACTCCTATCAATGCGGATAAAACTTATATCGCAGAATCGATGTTACAAAAAATACAATATTGTAACGATCCGCTCCGCGGTCGTGACGTAACAAAGAGGACTAACTTAAATGATTGTTGTTTTCAAGCGCGTCATCATACACCGACGCACAATGTTTACGTTAATAATTTGCATACGAGTGATTGACATTCGGATATTTTATTGAGATGCTTAAAGATGTTAAACTGTAATTGTTTATAAGTATATCACATGAATTTGGAAGGAAAGTTGTTTAGACAATGTGACTTGTTAATATTTACTGCAACTGATATGTCATTCAGAGTGTTGTATTTAATTAATGGTAAAATAAGAGATTTACTTAGATATTTTGCTCTGAACTAGCACAGTCTTCATGTTAAGTCCATTTTCGCTGCGCGCGTACTTTCCAAGATCGCTTAGCGCATCGATTTCCCCCACGTCCGCATTATGCCTTTATAACCCGTAACATTTCTAAAACTCGAGAGTTGGTATTTGGTCCTCGTCGGGGCAACATATAATTTAGCTCTCCTGGAAATCCCCCCCCCCCCCCCGAATTAAGGACTTGAGTTGGAATTGGACGCTCGTCGGAATCAGAACTATTAGTCTCTCCCTGGAAATCCCCCCCCCCTCCCCCCCCCCCCCCCCTAAGGAATTGTCTTGGAATTGGGCGCTCGTCGGAACTGGTACCACACATAAGATCTCTCTCCCTCCCTGGAATATAAGGGTACACAAGGAAGTCTACGCTGGAATTAAGATGCTGGAATTAATGAACCACTATTATTAAGATGCAGGAATATTCTAAGTCCACCTCTCCCCGGCCCCTATGATGCTATGGAATTAAACTAAGACGGAAAACTCCCAAGTCCCATAAATCCCAATGAATCATTGCCCTTCACTTTTTACATGTATTCGAATATAATAACGACAATCGTATAAATTTATTAAGTATAACTATGAGCACAAGGTATTTGTGACAGTGGTGATATAAAGATGTAAATATTTGAAGTACATGCATTAATAAAAATTGACCATTTTCTTTTGTCTTGAAACTGAAATTATGAGTCTATAAACACTTTGTCTTTCTTCTTGACTGGTACTCCTTCATAGTCGTATATTTCGACGAAACGAACGTAAATAATATTGTAGCTTCCCCCGTCTTTCCTCAAATAAAAGATAAGATCTAATTACTCTAACCGCTCGGACATTATAAATAATGTCGGCTGACGAATATCCTGACAGATATAAAGAATCAGTTTCCCCAGCTGGGAAAGAGAATAATCCCGACGTAGAGGTCGAGGTTGGAGACGGAGGCGGGGGCGGCCGCCACAAATTTGGTGTCAGAAGTGGGATTCTTAATATGGCGGAGGTACCAAAGTCTAAGAAAGAAATAGATGAGCTAAGTTGCTCCTCAGATGAGACAATGTCTAGTACAAAAAGTTCAAAGAAAAAGAAGAGTAGGTCAGAGAAATTACAAAGTCGGATATTAAGTCAACTAACGAAGTTAATGGGGCAAATGATGAAGTTGACAAAGAAACCTAGGAAGAGGAGTGTTGGCTCAGACTCCTCCACGGAAGAACTATCTGATTCTTCAGATGATGAAGTGGAATTCAACTCCAAACCAAATAGACGACTGGAAGGAATGAAAGTCCAAAATAGAGACGAGGAAGGAATATCTCATGTCGAAGAATCAAAGACGAGGAAACTTAATGAAGAAACTAACCAGATGGAAACACAAAAGAAGAATGATGATATTCGCTATGCCAAAGAAGATAGAATTCGGGAAACTACTCATCGACCACTGATCATGCCGGACAAGTATGATGGAAGTACCGACTGGAAAGACTACGCCTCGCATTTTGAATCTTGTTGCGAAATCAACAACTGGAAAGATGAGGAATCTGCCAAGTATCTAGCTGCTAGCTTGAGAGGTCAAGCTCTGAGATTACTAGAAGAACAAAGAGGCACCAAGTGGAACTTTGAAGAAATAAAGAGTAAACTGTCATTCAGGTTCTCTTCTGCCAAACAGGCGGAAAGCTATTTGTTGGAACTTAGGAATCGTAAGCGACGTCAAGGAGAATCACTTCAGGAACTAGGACGTCATATTAGGGAACTAACTGATAAGGCATATCCAAACTTTGAAAGTCAAGGGGTCGATAGACTAGCTAGGATTCATTTTACTGATGCTATTCGTAGTAGTGAGATTCGTATGGGAATATTTCATGCTAAGGCAACAAGCTTAGATGAGGTAATTCAAGCAGCAATAACCACTGAGACATTTCTACAGACGGAGACTGAGAGGAATGGATGGAAGGTTAAGCCTACTTACAATAGAGGAATCGGCTCTGAAGTGGATCTAGAGAAGATGATCAAAGATGAAGTCAACAAAGTCCTAGGCCAAGCTATGGAAAGTCAACCTAACAAGGAAAGATGTCAGGGATATGTGAAGAAACCAGGAACTAATCAAAGACCAAGCCAAACAGCGCATGAAGGAAGATTTGATGTGAAAACCCAAACATGTTTCTATTGTGAGAAACCTGGCCATTTCGCAAGAGAATGCCGTGAGAAACAAATGGATCGAAGAGGAAGGAACTATCCAAGTGATGAATCTAACTGGTCAAGACAAAGATACCAGCGTCAGTCAAACGACAAGTGGTCGCCCCAAAGGGTCGTGGCGCGGCCAATCGTCCAAAATTAATTGAGACCCAAACTAGCAAAACAAAGACAAGTTTCATACCCAGTATAAATCAAAATGTTGATGGTCTTTATGTTCCAGTGCACATTCAGGACAAGGAATACAAATTTCTAGTTGATACTGGTGCTTCAGATTCTTACATTTCTAGACGATCATATGAACAATTAGATGAAAAAGATAGACCCCCTCTGCAACATCGTAGCATAAGTGCACAGTTAGCAGATGGTTCACCATTAGCCATTTATGGAGCAATAACTCATGAGATGAAGATAGGACCAAATAAAGGAGTAATTACAGTTTTGGTAGCAGATGTGAGTAGTGATGGAATCCTCGGCTTGGACAATCTAACAAGAATGGGGGCTAGCATTGATCTGACTAATTTCCAACTCACCACAAAATGGGGCAAAGTAGAGTGCAAGAATGAAAGTGGAGAAAGACTATCCTGCCGCATAACTGCGTCAGAAACTACTACAATCCCCGCAGGACATGAAGCTGTAATACTTGGATCAATAAAGGAAGGAGATCGAATTAAATCTAACACCCTAGGTTTAATAGAGGCTGGAAATGTTCAACAACAATTAGTGAAGAAAGGACTCATTACAGCTAGAACTCTAATCAAGACAGGGGAGGAGTTAGTGCCTGTTAGAGTATTCAACCCATCTACTTCCAACAAAGTAATAAAGAAGAACACACCAATCGCTATGATGACCGTTATAGATACAAGTGAAGTACAGGAAGTCCCCAAGTACACCACTGTTGGTGATGGAAAAGTTCCGGAACATTTGAGGGATTTGCTAAAGAGAAGTACAGAAGGAATACCAGATCAGTATCGCCAAGACGTGGCAAAGTTATTGACGGAATTTCAGGATGTATTCTCAAGAGGAGATGATGATATTGGAAGGACTAATTTGGTACAACACAAGATAGATACTGGAACTCAGCGACCAATAATTAGACAACGACCACGCAAGCAC